TGCCGTAGAAGAGGGGGGGGGGGAGGGAAAGAGGAGGAAAAAGGGGGAGAGGGAGGGATTAGGAAAAATATTTGATTGATTATTTAACTCATATTATGCAGGGTGTCAAAATAAAAATTAATTAGCCAATTTTTTTTGTCTCTAATTCAGGCGGTTTTTTGTAAAAAACATTTTAAGTAATCCAGTGCTAACAATTAATACAAAAAGTCGTGAGATTTCGAAGAAAAATTTATAATCAATACTGTTGAAATATTTAATATCTCCATCAGTTTTAAAGATACCTATAAAAAGTAGAATGAAAATCAGACATTCTACTTTTTTATCTGAACGCTTTTTATGACCGAAATTTTGAAAATATAATATAGAAATGTCATATTTTCATATAAAAAATTTGTTGGAGCACAAGAGCCAAATTTAAGTATTAGTATTATTTGTCAAAAAATCGAAGTTTTTGCCACAAACTAGAATTTTATTTTCCCTATATCTTTAAACCTGATGGTGTAAACCTTAAGTGTTTCAAATTTAGATTATCTTAACTAATAGAATTTATAGTTTGAAATATCAAAGGTCTACGCCCGGGTTGCAAAGAAAAAGGGATTAGAAAACCAGAGTTTGTTGTAAGAACTCAATTTCCTTCGCAATTTTTCTCGAAGTTATCGGCGAAATTTTCGCAAAACGATTTCTCCATTTCGCTGAAAACCCTAGTCCTGTTTAGTTTGACAAGATGAACGAACTAGCACCTGAGAGAACATCAAGGCTCACCCTTTTCGCTTGTCTTCTGCTTGCCCTGCCAGTCACTGTTGTTCCCATACCCTTTCAAATGGAGTCTGGTGAGTAACATGACAGTAGCAAGACCATTGCATGGGATCGTCTTTAATCGTTGAAATAATTTGCGGCATTTATTTGAAAACCTAAATTTAGAAGTAAAATTTCAGAGTTATTAATCACAAAATACCCCTAATCTTGGCATTTCCAAAATGTGGTCTGCCTTTTTTGTGCTTTCAATATTAATGGAGATCTGAAGAATTTCTTTCAGGTTTCGACAGTTTTGGTTTTATTTCATGAAAGTGAAATTCTTAATATCTCCTGTAATATTTATAGCACAAGGCAGACCAATGACAAATGCCAGGATTAGGAGAATGTTGTCTCAAGAATCATATATGTAAAAGTAGGTTGATGACTCAATGTCAGAAATAAATTCAAAGTTCTAAGACGACTTTCAAGTTGTCTTGCAACTGTCATGTTTAGTGGGACACCCTGTACATGAATTGTTCATTTTATCCACGTTTATTGTGGTTTTAATTGCAATTCATGAAAACTATCCCTGGTATCTGGTATCCTACAGTGATAACCAGAAAACTGTGCAATAGGAAGTCGACTTTTAGACTCAAGTTCTGACTTTCAAACAGATCCATTTCAATTAATAAGTGGCTTAAATAAGTCAATTGTGCAAATGCAAATTGCTATATTTGACAAGAAGTCAATAAGTTTATTCATTTTTAAAACAGTGATAACAAGAAAGCTGTGGAATAGGTAGACGACATTTAAGCAATACTTGAGTGTATTTCAAGTTGTTAAGAAGTATTTTTGTAGATTTACATGTAACTTTTTAAAGTACTAGATTAATCAAATTAAATAGATCTATTAAAACTGCACAATTACTGCGTCTCATGTTTATTAGACTATTTAGAGTAATAACTTGAGCCTAAAGTCGTCTTCCTATTCTAGAGTTTTCTGGTTATTTTACACAAAATTCTAATTAAGCAAGGCTTGAAATGATTTCCTATTTGCTAGGGAAGGGGCGTCAGAATACTTTACACCAGACCATCATCTTAAGATTTTAATCTTAATTTTTTTTCTAGGATTCATTCCTGAACAAGTTGCCATCTACTGTGGACTGAGGGCAACCAACAGCAGCCTGGACATCCATGCTATCATCCTGGCACTGGGGTTCACACTTGCTCTCCTAGTCATGATCCTCTCATACTACTTCAACCTCAACTACCTCAAGCGCAACCACAGTCAGCTAATACTGGCAGAGGCGAACACTCCCACCAATAAGAACCTGATAACGTTCAAATCTCTGATCATCGTTGGAATCTTCCTTTACTTGCCCTTAATGATTTACATAGGCGTTCGGTCCCAGCTTCAAGACAACTTTCCCGTAGGAAACATTCTCGTCTGCGTCTTCTTGAACGGTGGTCTAGCATATTTTGGAAAATCAAAAAAAGTCCGTAGCCATGCTAAACGGCTTCTCAAGCTGGACGAAAACATAGCTGCCCGGGCCTTCCTGTTTGGCCAGGCAAAGGTTTGCCCAGCATACGGATAGATATAATTGTTTGTTTTGCTTGGGCCAGACAAAGTTTTATTATGGAACATAAGATTTTCAAAATTAATGGAATACTTTGTTGACAAAAGAAGGAGCTGTTGAATTAATTAGATGGCAGTTTGGCTGGGCAAAATTACGTTTATGTTAACAGAATTTAATTAATTTCTGTAATTAATTACTGAATTTAATTAATTTTATTAATGTTAACAGAATTTAATTAATTTCGGTAATTAATTAATTTTATTAATGTTAACAGAATTTAATTAATTTCGGTAATTAATTTCTGAACTTAATTAATTTTATTAATGTTAACAGAATTTAATTAATTTCGGTAATTAATTTCTGAATTTAATTAATTTTATTAATGTTAACAGAATTTAATTAATTTCGGTAATTAATTTCTGAACTTAATTAATTTTATTAATGTTAACAGAATTTAATTAATTTCGGTAATTAATTTCTGAATTTAATTAATTTTATTAATGTTAACAGAATTTAATTAATTTCGGTAATTAATTTCTGAATTTGATTAATTTAATTAATGTTAACAGAAATTAATTAAATTCTGTTAACAAACGGAATTAATTATTAGGTTTTATGTAAGAATTGAGGAGTGTCTTGATGGGTCGATATGTCCCATTTATTTAGCAAACTGTTAAAAAAAAATTGATTAAATAAAATTACTAAGATTGCCCAGCCCTATATTTAGCAAGTTCAACCTTCTTGAATTATAAATATTGTTGAAAATTTTAGATAAATTGATAAATTTGGACTTTTTTAAAAAGAAAATACACAATTTTTGTAGTATTTACAATCTGCACTGTGCACCAATTTGATGTTTCAAAAAATCCTAAATCTGTAAATCCAAATAATTCAGGAACATTTCTATGTTAATTGTTTAAAACTTGAAGTAAAGTCTATGTTTCATATAATATTGTGTTTTGTTTAAATTTCAAATCCTTTTTAAAAAAATATTTGTTTAAAGCTAATAAAATTTTGAAATTTATATTAGACAAAAAAATTATATTGGGTACTGTACTGTTGTAGATTTAACTTACTAAATATAAACATAAACTATAAATATCTATATATTTTTTTTCTAAAAATAAGTTCAGAACATGTTCTATTGTTTATTTAATATAGTTTATTGCTGGACACTGTGCTTCATGTTTCATATATATATATATATATAATTATACAGAGTTACCTGCAAAGGATGAGACTGTAAAGACGACTTAAAACTCTTAAAATGTAGTCCTTAAGGTTTTAATCAAGTCTTTTGCCTTTTATGTGGTCTTTAAATGGGTTATTTATGTTACATCATGAATATAAAGAAATAGACAGAATAAACTCCGTACAGTCGTCTCATCTTTTGCGGTTGACCCTGTATTATAAATATAAGCTTTGCTTGTTTTTCTGTTGGTTTGTTTGAATCAAAAAAACGTCAAAACAGCTGAACCGATCGGGCCCAAATTTTAATTGTGTGACCTCGCGTGACCCCAGCTAGGGATGATCGAATTTTCAAAAATTTGCATTTAAAAAATTCAATTTTTGAATATTTTGAATTTGTTTTTATAAAATACGCGAAATGTTTTGTTTTGTTTTATCTTTAATTTATAAAAAGAACATTTCTTTGTAAAAAAAAGGGATCCGCCGACAAAAAATATAAAAAGCGAAACATTCTTGTTTAATTACAGCACAGGTCAAATTGGGATCGAAAGTCTTGTCAAACTAATTGTAAATTGAAATCTCATTTGGTCTCAATCATAACTTATTTTTATTTATTGAAGAGCTCTTGACAAAAACTACAATATTTCTAATGTGTAAGTTAGTTGTAACCTGATAAATTTGTTCGAAAAACAAAACTAGAGGAGCTACGAGGTTACAAAGTGGTATTTTCCTGCTGTCTAGTTCACAGTGAAGTAACAATAGCTTGCTGGAACAAGGACTGAGCTATAAAATCAGCGTGATATGATGTGTGGACTGCAGGACGTTCTTTAGACGTCTTTACCTATTAAAGTCAATATTTATTCGTAATGTGATTTACATGTTCAAAGTGTAATCTTCTCATTGTTCACAAAAGTTTTCGCTAAGTTAATTTCCCTTTAAGTTTAATTAAAGTTATCAAAAATAATGTTTCCCTTTTGGATTTTAATCGGTTCTTTTAGATAAAATCAAATTTTTGAAATAATTTCTCTTGTTACAAATTTGATTTCAAGTTGTAGTTAATAATAAGAAATTGATTTCCTCATCATGCTTAATAAAACATTGTTAAAATTTTTTAATTTAGGAATGAGGGAAGGAATCTTAAAACCAAATTAATCATATTATACAAAAACCTGACAACTCAATATCAAAAGAGGGCCAAAAACATCGTTTGGAACTTCTGTTTCAAGAAAAACTGTCTGACAATCTTCTCCACTTTTTTCGACTTAAAATATGCGACAAGAAAATAAAAGTGATCATGATCGATTTAATTTGCNAGGTATATATGCTTGCGTTTTTTTCTATAGTTTATTCGCTGAATCGGAAGAAATAAATGATTTTTGGAAAATAATAAAAGAAATGGAAGTAAAAGAACGAAAGAAAGTTTGCCTTTTATGTCCAATTTGTCATTCCCCCCCAAATCAATAAAACTCCTAACCCAATTCTAAAAAATTACTTTCAATAAAAAAAACAACAAAATCATCTTTATTGACGTTTGCATGGAAATTAAATAAATAATCAATGATAAGATGTTAAAAGATATAGGTATAAAAATAACTAAAATATAAAACAGAATCAATTAAACATTTTTTAAATTTGGCAAAAAGCAGTTTAACATTAAATGGCAATCAAAGAAATGCCAAGAACCTTAAATAAAAATGCCCTATTAATAAGCAATATACATTGAAACAATCAGATGATTTCCATACTTTGGCGGATTACAGGATTTCAAAATGGCGAAAATGTCAGCTGTTCATTAAGAGCATCTGTTTGACAAAATGGTAGACAGACATAAAAAAATATTTGATAAATGGTGCACATTATCCATTAGCTGAATTGAAATGGCGGACAACAGCTGTTACAAAATGGACCAAACTACTTTTCTTCTTTTTTCTCCAATTTCTCCGATTCCTTAGCTTCTTTCTCTCTCTATACAAAATGTTTATACAAATTTTACAATAATAACAAAAAAGAATTTTATTACAATTTGCAATTATTATTTTTTTGTTATTTTATCTCCTTAGAAATAATTAACTAATTTTGGAAATATCTTTACCTTGTCAAACGCTTCCCTGAGAGATTTGCAAAACTTCTTGTGCATAAACCAATGCAACTTCTGACAATCCTGTAATGCAAATCAATTAAGAGTAATCAAGAAGCTAGGGATTGCCCAACAGCTCCTTGATCCAGCCAGGGTATGTCATCACAATCCATTCTAAATAAATCGTCTTTGACCTTATAAATAGTTTGCGGCATTTATCAAAGGTATGCAACAATTATCACAAAACGGCTGTTGTCTTGCCATTTAAAAAAAGGTGGTCTGCCATTTTTTTTGCTTTCATAATTACCGGATATAAGATTGATTTGGTTCCGAATTTTTTCAGACCAAATATTGGTAATTTTTGTTTTAAAGCGTTAGCAGAACACTAAAGGCTTTTATGCGAATCTTTCATTTTACAGTGTATCACAAGGTTCAGTCCGCATAATTTTGTTGCATAAAACTCGCAACCACATACTTTATTGAGCACACTAGATGGGTTAATACAAGTGAACACAAGAAATCTTCGGCGACCATCCTTGTACCGGTTCGGATCATGCAACGATCGGGCTCATGTGGTATTTTGTACATTGTACAATTTAATTGTACATTATGTAGTGTATTATGTACAGTACAATATATATTGCGTACACTTACATTGCAGTGTAACAAATACAGTAATTGTGTAGAGAATAGTTTATTATGTAATTGCATTGTACTATGTACATTGTAAAGTACAGAGTATTATGTACAGTATACATACAGTATATGATGGCAAGTATACATTGTATTATGTACAGTACAGCTGTGTAATAAACTAACCTGATTACAGTAGGAGATGGATTTACAGGCTGTACATTTCTTCTCAGCTTTTTCCTCCCCACAGGTTCCACAGTTCTCATAATCTTTAAATCCCTGATAAAAAGCATCTATGATCAAAGCAGTCTCTGATGACCTAAGAGGGGGGGGGCATTAGAGACTTTAAACAAGCGGTCTGCCAGCTGTAGGATCCGGATACGATGGATCCACAATATTTGGTTTCATTCATTTTGTTTCAGGGTGGATTCAGGATCCGGATCCACATCAAAATGAAATGGATCCCAGTAACTGTCTGCCAGAAACAGTTCCTTTTGCAGATATACTATGAAAAAGCTGGCATCTGATCCTGTGTAAAGCCTAGGGTA